AGATGGAGTCCGAATAGATGGGGTCGAAGGATCGCGCCGCATCGCCGATGCATCGCCGATGTATCGGCGATGCACCGGATATGCATCGCCGACGTCGGCCATGTATCGGCGACGTCAGCGTGGGGAAACACGAGCTCCGCGTCGGGCCGCATCGGCGATGCGGCGTGATTCACCGACCCCATCTCCTCCGACCCCGTCTAGGAGGCCCAGAGACTCCTCCCCCTCCTTCGCCTCCCCTCGCCTTCGCCTCCCCTCGCCTCCCCGCCCCTCGCGGCCAGCGGCGCCCGCCTCCCACCAGCCGCTGGTAGGCGGGCTCCTCGGCGTCCTGCGCCCCAGTAGGGAAGGGCGGTGTGCGCGGCAGGGCGGCAGCCGCGCACGCACGTGCGCACAAGACGACGACAGTGCACCGGCATGCCGTACGCACGCCGGGCTGGGCGTCGGGCTGGCCGTCCAGTGCGGCGTCGGGCTGGGCGTCCAGTGCGGCGTCGGGCTGGCCGTCGGGTGCGGCGTCGGAGACGCCGTCGGGCGGCCGCGCGCGCAAAGAGCAATTGCATCGAGGAGCGCAGTGGCGACATAAACAGAGACTTTCGGAGCTCCTCCGCGCGGACCCCCGAGAGTTCATGCTCCGGCTATTTCTTGTCACTCGAACGGAGTAGCATGCCGTACACGCCATGCCTTATGTTGGGGCGCAGAGCATACTGGTCTGCAGTGCGGTACGATGTGAGCGGCGAAACCAACAAACAGGTCTTGCGCACGATGGCATACTGACCTTACGCTGTGGCTTATGCGGGCCACCAGCGTGGCACACTGCGTGGAGAAGAAAGCGCTCACGCGCGACCTGTCGCGGAACACTTATGCGCGAACGTCCGGAAAATCGATCCCGATTCCTGCCGTTGCTCATGTGGCGTGAGGTGATAAGATGTGCGCATCTTAGTGCCATGCAACAGATCGCGGGGTATTCCCGCCAGTGCAATGACACCGAATGGCAAGGACCCCACAACACCGGATGGGCAAGCCCGCGCAGAGATTGTTCACTGCGTGGAGCTCCCCACATGTGCGTCTATTCGCATGGACCTGTCCGCCGTGAATGTCTAGGCGCAAGAGCTCTCGAATGTAAACGGGCTTCAGTTGTGACGGTCTGATCATGAATCGAACTGCGAACGAATTGGAGTGTGAAGGAGCCTCAGCAGCACGAGCGCGTCTCTGCGCCACGAGCCTGGGGCCTCCTCGGGGGGGCCTCCTGGGACCAACCGGGGCTTCCTGGGGCCTGCAGGGGCCTCTTGGGGGCCTCCTGGGGCCTCATAGGGAGGATTCGTGCCCAGGAGAGGCCCAATCTATGGCAACAGAAGGGCAAACTATAGGAACACACATAAGACACCAAGGACTCGTGCCCCAGGAGAGGCCCAATCGACAGCAACCTAAGTAAAACATTTAGGATTGTGTACACAGGGGAAGGACCATATACAGAAACATACTTATAACATCAAGGATTCGTGCTCCAGGTGATGCCCAATCTATGGGAGCATTCGTAAAACACATGGGATTGGAGCCACTCCTGTTGCCTTCTGAGGCCGCCTGCTCCTGGGGCCTCTGGGCCTCGTGTTGCCTTCCGAGGCCTCCTGGCGCTTCTTGTGGCCTCCTGGGGCCTCCTGTGGCGTCCTGAGGCCTCCTGGAACTTCCTGGGGCCTCCTTGAGCCTCTTGGGACATCCTGTGGCCTCTTGAGTCGTTCTGTGGCCTCCTGATGCCTCCTGGGACCTCATGTGATCTCCTGGGGCCTCCTGGAGCCTGTTGGAGCCTCCTGTGGCACCCTGAGGGGAATCTGTGCCCACGAGTCTGGCCACCCAAACAAGCAAACCGATCGAGACATCCTCAAAATCTGGCCCACCTGAGGGGTGGAAATGAGCGCCTCGCTCGAGGCATCTTCCAAATCTGCTCCGAAAGCGAAGGATGTTGAGACATACAACAAGCAAGCCGCTTGAGACATCCCCACAAAACGCCCACGAACGGGACCGTGCAATACCCCTCGGCGGCTCCCCTTAGGGGGGTGAACATGAGCGCCTCGCTGGAGACATCCTCCAAATCTGCTCCGAAAGCGAAGGATGCTGGAACAGAAAACAAGCAAACCGCTTGAGACATCCCCACAAAACGCCCACGAACGGGACCGTGACAGCACCCCTGGCGGCTCCCCTTAGGGGTGCTGAAACCAGCGCCCCGCCTGAGACATCCTCACACTCTGCTCTGGTAGCCAAGGATGCTGGGACAGAAAACAAGCAAACCGCTTGAGACATCCCCCGAAAACGACCGCGAGCGGGACCGTGAGATAACCCCTGGCGGCTCCCCTCCGGGGGAGCTGAAACCAGCGCCCCGCCTGAGACATCCTCACAGTCTGCTCTGGTAGCCAAGGATGCTGGGACAGAAAACAAGCAAACCGCTTCAGACATCCCCACAAAACGACCGCGAGCGGGACCGTGAGGTAACCCCTGGCGGCTTCCCTCCGGGGGAGCTGAAACCAGCGCTCCGCCTGAGACATCCTCACAATCTGCTCTGGTAGCCAAGGATGTTGGAAAAGAAAACAAGCAAACCGCTTGAAGCATCCCAACAAAATGACAACGAACGGGCCTGTGAAATCACCCCCGGCGGCTCCCCTCAGGGGTGCTGAAACCAGCGCCCCGCCTGAGACATCCTCACAATCTGCTGTGTGTTGAGTAAGTCAGATCATGTGAAGGTCTGAAGATGGGTAGGTCTGAGTATGAGTAAATCTGGCTATGAGTACGACTGGGTCTGCGTATGAGTACGAGTAAGTCTGGGCATGCGTGAGTCTCAACATGAGTAAATCAGAATATGAGAGGATCTGAGTAGGTCTGAGCATGAATCCGCCTGTTAACAATTCTGAGTATGAGATAGTCTGGGTATGATTGTCTGAGTAGGAGTAGGTCTGAGTATGAGTAGGTATGAGTATGAGTAAGCTTGTGTCTGAGTAAGTGTGAAGTATGGGTATGAGTAAACCTGAGTGTGAGTAAGTCTGTGTATGAGTAAGTCTGGGTATGAGAAGGAGGAGAAGGAGGATAATGAGAAGGAGGAGGAGTAGGAGGCGTCCAAGTAATAACAAGAACCCCATCTTAGGATATGGGGGAAAAAAACATCCCGCTGGCACCGTGGACCTGATGGGCGGGTCCCTGTGGGTACCGCAGGGGCGGGACCGCTTGGCAACCCCAGCTCCGTGCCTTGTCAAACCCCAGCGAGCGAGCGGAGCGAACGCAAACCGCGCAGGGCCAACACACCTCCCACCTTGAGGCGGCCAGGGGGTCTGCGCCAGAAGGGCCCAGAGAAGATCGGTCCCGAGAAAATCGGTCAAGAGTGAAGGGGCCCTGGGACACACAAATCAATAGACACAAATAACAGGATTCCCCATACTTTCAAATATTTTCTGGGTTTTTGTCCTCCCCCCCACTTCCCATATTTTCAATTTTTTCTGGGGAGTCGACGATAAATTTTGTCTGTGTGTTTTTGTTTCCCTCCTGAAAAAGGGGCTGGCGAAAGCCAACCCGGTCAAAATCTGTCCTCGGCCCCCTTCCGCGGCCCAAGCGCAGCAGTTCGTCGAGTCTCGTCCAGGCGTGGCGACGAGACAGCCCCCCCGAGGTCGAGAAGGGGCAATCGTCCTGGCGAGGGGCCCAACCATCTCCTCCTCCTCCTCCTCCTCCTCCTCCTCCTCCCCCTCCTCCTCCTCCTCCTCCTGCACTTGTGCATACCGCGTTGTGGTTGCCGCTTTCGGTGGAGCTCCCTGTGGGGCCGCGAAGCGTGCGAGGGGTGCGCCTGCATGGGGCGGGGCGACGCGCGCGGCCGAGGCCTCCGGGGCCTTCGGCGGTGGAGCTCCCTGGTGGGGCCACGAAGCGTGCGAGGGGCGCGCCGAACCGGGGCAGGGAGGCGCATGCGGCCGCGCCCACTGGGGCCTTCGGTGGAGCTCCCAACAGGGGCACGAAGGGCTGTGCTGGGTTCGAGACGCATGCGGACCCTGCCACTGGGGCATTCGGTGGAACCCCCCTATGGGCACAGGAAACGCTCCAGTGACTCCAGTGGGCGGGGGAGATGCATGTGGACCCTCCCACTGGGGCCTTCGGTGCAGCTCCCTGTGAGCCACGGAACAAAAGACTGAGCGGGGGAGACGTAGGTGGATTCTGCCACTCTGGCCTTCGGTGGAGTTCCTTATGGGCCACGACATGTTGCACTGGGTGGGGAAGACGCGTGCGGGCCCTGCCACTGGGGCCTTCGTGGAGCTCCCTTTGGGCCACGAACCACTGTAATGGATGGGGGGGGCGCAAGTGGAATCTGCCACTGGAGCCTCCGATGAAGCTCCCTACAGGTCACAACAGAATAGTTGGGACAAGAATCCGAAATTCCCCCCGCGTCCGTTGGCCGGAACGAATGCTGGGCCACCTCAGACCCCCTGCCGATGCTAAGACCAACTCACGTCCCACAAACCTCGATCGCCCTCGCTGCTTACTCCAGATTTCGTAATAAAAGGGAGGGGGTCTGGACCCTCCAATACAAGCCATTTCAGACCTCCCCCGTGGGAGAACCCTCCAAAACATCGTCCCCAGACCCCCCAGGCCCTCCAAGATAGCCTGGAAGAGACCCCTCCCGAAATGAGACCCCCCTCCCTTTATTACGAAATCTGGAGTAGCGACGCCCCTTCGCGCGGCGATCTCATTTTTCCTGTTGCCGCAGAGGCCGCCGCGGCAGCGCCCGCTGGGGCGCCCCAAGGAACCGTGCACGCCACGCGCCCGGGCGGCCCGAGGAATGGCCGCCGGTGCGAGCGTCGCGGTCGTCATGGTCGTCATGGTTGTCATGGTCGTGGTCGTGGCCGTGGTCGTGGTCGTCGTCGTTCGCCGTCGGAGTGGTCGGCGTCGTCGTTCGCCATCGGCGTCGTCGTCGTCGTGGCCCCTCGGCGTCGTGGTCGTCGTCGTCTTCGCACGGCCCGCTCGCGCGCGACGCGGGCCCCTCACGGACGTGGCGCGGGGGCGAAGCCCACGCGCTGCCCAGCAATGTCGTACGCGGACACGTACCTGCGTGGTGGCGGGTTGATGCCGCCAGCCCTCTTGAGGGGGATCGTTGGGGAGGACCGGCTTGGGGAAGGGAGGCATCGCCTTGGAATCGACGCTACGCCGCCGGTGGGTGGGCAAAAGGCCCCCTGATAGCGAATCCGGACGGTCCTGGGCGGGATGGGCTATCGGGCCCCGATCGGTGATCATGGGGGATTGGCGAGTGGGGGTCGATGCATCCCCGCCTGATCTAGTTATCCTCTCCTAACGTTGCTCCTGATCTCTAGGCTTAGGTGATCTGGCGAGATCTCTCTTCTCTGTTCCAAAGCCCCCCTGTCCCAGTGTTCCGGTGATGGCCCAGAAACGGCCATTCAGGCCCCCCCCTTCGCTCCAACATATCGCTCGCGCCCGCTCATTTTCAGTAGATGTGTGTCTTCCTCTCTTCTCCCGTCATCTCTCGTGGGCATCGTTTCTGGTCTGTCTGGTGGGGATGCGTGACACCCTGAGATCAGACGTCATGGGTTCTAGGGCTCTGGTCTTATTCTTGCTGCGATGCAACAACCGTTCGCAACTGCTGCACAACAGACAAAACGCATCGCAATCATCACGGCCAGAGCCCTATAACCCATGTTTCTACGACGTGATTCGAGCTGGCTCGATCTGTTTTGGCCCTGGGCCCCAAACAGGGCAACATTGCCCGGTATGAACAGACTACAACGCCCGTCCGGTCTCAGGGAACGCACGGCAGCGGGAGCAGATGGCCCTCGCGCACGCTTTGCTCGCGGCCCACGCGGGAACAGCGTGCAGCACACCGGGCTGAGGCCGCACGTGGGCAAAGCTGGTGCGAACGGGAGGACGTGGAAAGGAGGCAAAGCGGGTCTCGTTCTGTGCCGAAGAGGGGCCCCGGACACGGGAAGCTCACCCCGAGGGGCCCTCGCCGGGCACCGGGACCATCGCAGAAGGACTCGGGACGAAACGCCGGCCCCGGGGAGAGGGTCGGGCATTCCGGAAACCCCGTGGAGGAAGACTTTTTTTTGATCTGCAGGGCGAGAGCGAGCCTCTTCCGCAAAAAGCTCCGCGGGACGCGCACAGCTATAATTGACAGACTAGGGGCGGGAGCGGGCGGGTCCTCACGCGGCCAGAAGCAGTGGAGAAAGACACAAGAAGCACGGGGATGTCTGGGGGCGGGGACCTCTGTCCTCATCTCCCACTTCTCTGCGCCATCCCTCCCCCTGACCTCTGCAGTTCCCCCTCCTCGTCCTGCCCTCCCCTGGCCCCCCCCCCATCCCTTCTTCGTCTTCCCTCCTGCCCCTCTTCCCTGTGGCCGCCTCGGGTTTGGCCTCCACTGCACCTTCGCAGTAGCGGCTGGCCGATAACCCAGAGGTCGTCGAAGTCGCCTGCGTCGTCGTCATCAACGCCGCGATCGTCTCTTTCGTCGTCGTCTGCGTAGGCGGCTCGGTCGTCGTTTTCCGCCGCTGCCGTTCGTCGTCGTCGTCGTTGTCAGTTTTGGTCGTGATCGTTTTCGACGTCGCCCTCGTTGCAAGATTCGTCGTCGATGCCGTCGACCTGCGTCCAGTCCGTGCGGGCTGAACGTGCTGGAGCAGCCGATGCGTAGAAGACGCCAAAACTACATGAACACTAACTGTCGGAGCTTTGCGCGGATTTCTAGGATCTGCGCTGGACCCCCCCCTCATGGCGCGCGGAGCGTGCTGGGGGCGCCGCCAGAGGCGCTGCCAGGGGGGGCCCAGCGCCGATCTAAACACATCCGCGCGGAGCTCCGAAAGCTCATGTCGATGTCGCGTTTCCTTCTTCGGATGTGGCTGTCGTACTGGGTGTACTCCTCGCCGGAGATGCCGAGCAGGATGCTCCCCTCCAGGCCCCGCACCTCCACGCGGAGAGCCGGGAGGGTCGACACCCTCGAGCACTCCCAGCGCTCGCCGCCGAGCACCCGGTGTATGCGGTCGACGTCGGCCGTGGGGCCCATCGTCGAGCACGCGCCCGTGTCCACCGCCGCGCGGCACGGCCCCCTCTCCGCGCCGCAGAGGCGCAGGGAGCCCCCGGGGCCCTCCAGGGTCAGGGAGACCTGGAGAGGCAGAAAGCGGCACGGGCACCCCAGCGGTTCAACGATGTCGGGAGCGGCCAAGAGGGGGGTGTCCAAGAGGGGGGGGTGCAAATCATGACCGGCGGCACGTGCGCGGCCCAGCGGGGGGGCCAGGGACATAATGAAACAAAAAGAAGCGCCATGAAATCTGGGGAAATACCATGGCCCACGTCATGATATCCACACACCCCTGGTCATCACCCCCCTTTTTGCCGCCCCCGAAGATGGGGCCCCAGGTGATGGGATGGGGGCCCGGAAACGGACACCTCACACAGCGAGGGTTCACCTCGAGGTCCGCCTCCTGTCCTATGGGCCCCATGCTGGCGGCGCGCACAAAGGGGGTGGGGGGAGGGAGGAGGGTTTTTTAGAAACACCCCGCTTCTTAGAAGGCGCTGGCCTTGTTTCTACAGATCAGGCCCGCGCTTTCTAAGAAGTAGGGGTGCCTCTAAGCAGCCCCCCCCCGCCCCCTGCGCGCGTGGCTGGCCATCCCTCAGGGCCTCATATTTGGATTGCCGAACTATCTTTCCAGAGCGCCCGAGCACGTACGGCCAGAAATGGTGATCCAACGCAGGCGGGGGGCCAGGAATCCAGGCAAAATGAACTCAGCCCGTCCGGCATGACTGCGACAGGTGGCGAGGGGGAGGAGCGCGGGGCGAAGGGAGGGGAAAAGGGGGGAAAGCGGCAGGGGCGTGACTCAACGGAAAGCTCAGTGTCCGCTCAATGAAACGCATCCTCGCGGGTAGGGTAGGCGCGACCCGCGCAAAAACAAACCATTCTAGGACGAAGCTGCCGTGAACACCCCCGAGACACAGCGATGGTAAGCGCACGTAGATTCTGGGCTTCGACATGTGGCCGAAAGGGTGGGGGAGGGGGGTCTGGGCATGCCCCTGTCGACCTTCTCCTACCAAGCGCGCAGGCAGACTGGGAAGGGTCCTTACCAGCCGCCATAAGCAGCCGCCAGTAGCAATTGAGACGTGGCCTGTGGGCCAGAGAGGGGGAGGGGCCAGGCGCCCGCGCCGATCGGCGAAACAGCAAAACTTGTTTGGTCTGCGGGTCGGGAGCGGGCCCCTTCCGGTCAAGAGCTAAACGGGACGCGAGTAGCCCTAATTTGGGGAGACAGGGCGCGGGCGGGCAGGGCCTCAGGCGGCCAGAGGGCTCAGAGCACAGGCGGTGCCGAAGAACTTGCACAAGATAAGGTACGCCATGGACTGGAGCAGGGGGCGAGGCCCCAGCGAAACAGCAAAACATGCGAGAGAGGTTTGCTGTCGTCCCTATGGCCGTGGATAGGGCCGCACACGCAGCGATCGGAGACGCGCGGGTTCTGGGCCGTCGGCGTGCAGAGAGGCTGACCGATGCCACCAGGGCAGCCGCGGGCGCAGACCCCGAAGCTGCCCTGCTTCTGCTGGAGTGGACGCAAGGCCCCATGGGATTTACGGGCCACATGGCCCCGCCTCGCTACCGAATGCGCGACCCCCCGCGCGTGGAACCCAACTCCAGTGCTACGGGCGCTGCTGACGACACCAGCAGCAGGGCGAGGACGCCAAGCCTCCCGGTTCCAAAGGAACACGGCCAGCTGCACTTCACCCAGCTGGCGGATAAAGCTCCTGACAGTGTGCCAGGTAGAGTGTGTGGCACTGACACCATGAGAACAGGTGCCAGGCCCCCACCCACGGGGGGAGGAGGGAGGAGGAAAGGGAGGAGAATGGGAGGAGTAGGAGGAGGAGGAGAAGGAGGAGGAGAAGGAGGGAGAAGGAGGAGGAGGAGGAGGAGGAGGAGGAGGAGAGGAGGAAGAGGAGGAGCAGAAGGAGGAGGAGGAGGAGGAGGAGGAGAGGAGCAGGAGGAGAGAAGGGTGGCGAAAAGGAGGAGGAGGACGAGGAGGAGGAGGAGGATGCAGGGGAAGAGGGGGAGGAGGGGGAACAGGAGGAAGAGGGGGAGGAAGAGGAGGAGGAGGAGGAGGAGGAGGAGGAGGAGGAGGAGGAGGAGGAGGAGGAGGAGGAGGGGAGGAGAGGACGAGGAGAAAAAGGAGGAGAAGGAGGAGGTGGAGGAGCATGAGGAGGAGGAGGAGGGTGGCGAAAAGGAGGAGAGGACGAGGAGGAGGAGGAGGAGGATGCAGGGGAAGAGGGGGAGGAGGGGGAACAGGAGGAAGAGGGGGAGGAGAAGGAGGAGGAGGAGGAGGAGGAGGAGGAGAGGAGAGAGGAGGAGGAGGAGCATGAGGAGGCGGAGGAGGAGGAGGAGCAGGAGGGGGAGGAGAAGGAGGAGGAGGAGGAGGAGGAGGAGGAGGAGGAACAAGGGCCCCTTCCCCTGGTTCATCCCGAGTCTTTTTGTGACGGTCCCGAGGCGCAGCAAGGGCCCCAGCGAGGCCGCAGAGAGGGCCCGAAATAACCTCCCGACGTGGTTTCGCTGTTTTTTGGAGGCGAACGAAGGGGAAGGCCTTCTCGGAAGGCGGCGGGGCTTCTCGGAGGCCCCCGCGCCTCCTGAGAAGCCTCCTGTGTCTTCGGGGAAGGCGTGGGAAACGCTTCGGAAGGCCAGGAGCCTTCCGAGCCTTCTGGGGAGGCCCGCCCCGTCTCGCTTCCCCCCTGGGCTCGCCGCGCAAAAAAAGACATACCTCCCGTCGCGTTGTTTTCCCCCTCGAATTTGCGACGCGAGCGTGTCCGAGTTTGTCTCCCTCGGAGACCACTTGTACGAGGAGGAGGAGCAGGATGAGGAGGAGAAGGAGGAGGGGGATGAGGAGGACGAGGAGGAGGAGGAGAAGGAGGAGAGGGAGGAGGAGGATAGAGAGGAGGAGGGAGAGAGGAGGAGGAGGAGGATTACGGCAGAAGAGGAGGAGGATAACGTAGAGAAAGGAGGATAGAGGAGGAGGAGGAGGAGGAGGAGGAGGAGGAGGAGGACGAGGAGGAGGAGGAGGAGGAGGAGGAGGACGAGGAGGAGGAGGAGGACGAGGAGGAGGAGGACGAGGAGGAGGAGGACGAGGAGGAGGAGAGGGAGGAGGAGCGTCGTGTGCTCGCTCTTGCGACGCGAGCTTGCCCGACGTTGCCCCCCTCGCAGACCACGGGCACGACCCACCAGCTGCCCGCGCCCCGCGCGGCGGCGCCCTGGGCGAGCCGAGCGGCACGCCGACCGACCCCGCCGCTCCCCAGAGATCCAACGTACGGGGCAGGTTTAATACATAGGATGCTTAAAGCTATATGATGTTTGATACATGATTAATTACTGAATCAATGTATGCATGAACTCATCGATGGTTTTAATACTAAACGCCTGCATTGTTAATACATGATCCGCACGCGGAACATATATAAAAATGGCACTGTAACAACCAATCGTAAGTTTCTAAAGTTTCGGCCTCTAGGCTTGCGGATACCACGACCATGGACACCCTCACAGTCCCATCATCTAACTGAAAATGGGTTCAAGATGTCGGAGACATGTTCTAAACATGTTTCGATCATGTTTTTTACATGGTCAAAACATGTTTAAGACATGTTTTAGACATCTGGGAATTATTTGGCAACATGTTTCCTCTCCATGGATCGTCCTCCACAACTCTAGGGGCCCTCGCCTGGCCCGGAGATCGCCAAAAAACGACTCAGGATGGAAAGCCGGTCCCAGGGAATGGGCCGAGACTTCCGGGGACCCCGCGTTGGAAAAGTCACGACATCGGATCTCTGGGTGCCTGGGCCTCTCCCTGGGGTGCGTCCAGACGAGGACTCCGAGGCGGATCCGCCCGTGGCGGCGAGGGCCTCCTGGGAGGCTCCGAGAGGCCGAGCTTGGGAAGGCCCCAACGTACGCCCAGGACGACGTACCCACCGTGAGGTGTCGCAGCGGCCTCGGTTCCAGCCGCGGTGGGCGCCAAGACGCAGTTTCTGGGTGTCCCGAGGTGGGCCCCGAGGCCCCCTCTCCCGGGTACCTCTGTTCTGGGGCACGTGTGGCCTGCGCTGACGAAGAACCGTGCAGATCGATATGCGTTGTCTCTCTCTCTCTCTCTTTTCTCACTGCTTACGGACTCCTAGGAGGTCTCGACCCCTGCCGCAAGGCCGGTTCTGCACCCCGGCTCTGTTCCTCCCCCGAAGCTCCAGTGCGGGCGCCCACCGCAGCGGCCCCGCGGCGGCGGAGCGCCTCTCCAGCAACGACGCGTCCCGCGCGAGCACGAGCTCGCCACCGCTGTGGCCACCGTCGCCCGCCTCGGGCGCGGCGCCCAGGCGCACCGCGAAGGCCCCGAGGCCCGCCTGGCGCTGCAGCTCGCGGGACGGCACCGAGCCTCGGCGGAGGGTAAGGCAGCGACCCACACGTCCACCGCCTCTCGGGGCCCTTGCCTGCCCTCGGGACCGTCGAGGAACGACCGGGGACGAAGAACCGGTCCCGGGGCAACGGCCCGCCCCCTCCTCCTCCTCCTCCTCCTCCTCCTCCTCCTCCTCCTCCTCCTCCTCCTCCTCCTCCTCCTCCCTCTCCTCCCTCCTCCTCCTCCTCCTCCTCCTCCTCCTCCTCCTCCTCCTCCCTCCTCCTCCTCATCCTCCTCATCCCTCTCCCTCCTCCTCCTCGTCCCCTCTCCTCCTCCCCCCTCCTCCTCCTGCTCCCCCTCCTCCTCCTCCTCCTCCTCCTCCTCCTCCTCCTCCTCCTTGCTGACCTTAGCATGCCCCCCGAACAGTGCCAGCTCGCATCAAAGCCGCCTCTGGCGGCGCCCTCGGTTGTGGAGATCGCCCTGGATGCCTGTGCGCAGCCCGAGTCTTACCAGTCTCGACGGCTGGACTCTCCTCGAAATCCTGGCCAGGACACATCCCAGGATGTGTCCAAGCCGAGGCACTGGCAACGTCGGTCACATTTCGCCCCCCCCCCAGAGCCGCTCACCGCGACTTCCGCGGGGGGCGGGCCCAGCCCGAGGATGCCGTCGAAAGGGAGGTCGAGGAACGGGAAGGCGGACTCCTCTTCGGAGGGACAAGACACGGCCTATGGGTATATATTTCCTCGCCTCGGACATCAACTTTCGGCGGTCTGCACGGATTTCGCGGATCGGCGCTTGAAGCCCTCTTGCGGCGACGCTGGCCCGCCCTGTTCCGCGCGGGGGCGGGGCAGAGAGATGGGGTACAACGCCGACCCGTGGGCGAACAAGAATATCCACATGCCTCGCGGGCTAGGCCCATGGGTCGCGCCCGCTCGGATACGCGGCGTTTTGTTCGCGGATGCCCCGTGCGGAGCGTATCCGAGCGTCCGCGTATCAGCGGGATCGCGCCCCGGAGTCAACTCCGCGAGGGCGCGGATGCGGATATGTTCGCTACCCGTGACCGATCCAAGAGATCTGCGCGGCCCCGCGGGATGTCATGCTTGTGCTATCGGTGTTGCCCCCCTTCGATCCTCGCGCGCAGACAGCAGCTCGGCGCGGATGCACAAGTGCCCCAAGCACACGGTGTCCTTCGGGGTGCTGCGGGGCGTGGCCCGGCCCCAGGTGGGCGACGACAAGAGAGGGACCTCACGCACGATGGCATAGCGACCTCACGCCGCGGCCTGCGCTGGCCGCAAGCGCGGCACGCTACACTGGCAGCGATGGCGCTTGCGCGCGACGCTACGCTGGCAATTTGTTCGTTTCCTTCCGTCGCCCAGGTGCCTCCGGGCTTTCTCAGGCCAGCGGCCTCCAGGGCACGCCGTCACGACGCCCACTCGGCTCCAGGGGGGCGGGAGGCTGGATGAGGGAGGCGCGTGTGTTGTGTGCTGTGCGATAGATAGCTGCCAGTATACAGCCGGCTAGCTTGGACGCGATGATACGAATGAAAGCGATGATGTGCAATCGAGTGCACTGGCAAATCATGATGCAACTTCCGACGTTGCCGACTACAGCGTCTACTGCGGCTCGTACAGTAGCCCCAACTACACTGCTTACTACACTCACTACTACAGCCCATACGACACCTCCCTCCACTAAACCTAAATGCGCGCCCTGCTGTTTCACCTCCTGCAACAGCCGCTGCTACAGTGTGAACTGCAGCCCCTACCACCGCCAAATTCATCGCCCAGTACCCTCCCCACACCCACCACCACCCCTAGAGTCCAGCAGAACCTGCGCGAGCACCGCAATGCTAGTGTGCACCCAAATCCTTGTCGGCACCGCCCTGCCGGCATGTGCAACATAGCGCCCGTGTGCACCGTACCGCGCGTGTGCACTGCAATGCCACCAATGCGCGCGCGCACCGGAATGCTTCTTGATGCCGCACTACGCGTTCGCAAAGCACTGCTTGTGGCGCAGTGCGTCACGCTGAATGTCCGCATGCGAGTGACGTTGGCAAACCTGTCCGGGTACTTGTGAATCTGGCGCATGGGAACCCCGCTGACAAAGTAGCAGCAACGACCGATGCAACGTGCACGCCGTTCCGCACTCTACGCGCAGATACGGTGGAGCACACAAGCATTACGGCGAATGCATGCATGGTGGCACGCGCAACCTGTCGCAGCGCGCGCGCTCACTCTCGGCATCGCAGTGCGCGCAGGAATTCGGCTGCACAGGTGCACTGTGGTGCGCCCGCATGCAGTGCGCTGCGCACCATGCTGGCGGTGCGCACAAACATTGCGTCGCACGGCCAGCCCCCATTGTTCACCGTAGAATGCCACAAGCGGTGCTGCAAGAGCAAAAGCATTGTGATGCACATGCGCACTGACACGTTGCGGTGCACGCTGGCATTGCGCAGCGCGCGGGGCACTCTGCATGCGTGCGTACGGGCACTTCCGTGCAAGCAGGCACCCCGGTGCACACGTAGACCATGGAGTGAACAGAAGCACTGCGGCGCACACAAACGACGTGGGGCACCCAAATTCTGTGCGCCGCAGTGCCTGGCTGCAATATCGAAGCCTGTAGCAATGCACAGTTGTTGATCAGCTCTTCCCCCTTCCCATCCAAAGAGGGACGAGGACGGGGGAGTGGCGCTCTGTCTCATACACCTCCTGTTGATCCTGCAGCCTGGAAAAACACCATGCCCAATCCTCACATCCATCCCAATCATTACCAGTCCCTCTTGTGCTACTCGTCCTCTTTAGGCGTCTCTAGCATTATCAACTTCCCCGTCGGCGCCCTCATGTTCCCTTGCCTCATTGCGAACACATCGAACACCGCGCAATGCAATTGATAGAAAAACGATACGTCACTCAGTACACACCGGCTAACGGTGCACACGGTGCGGTGCAAAACATCGCTGACGATATCATCTGCGGTCGTAAACGGAGTACCCACAGATATGGAGCGAAAACACGTAGAGATCAGAGTTTGACAACGGGCAGCGCAGCTTCATACAAACCCCACGCGGCACATATCCAGACACTGTGATCAGCACAGGCGAACGGCGGCGCCTGCAAACATTTCAGCGCACACGAGCAGTCTTAACAGCTTGTTTACACACGTGCACGGGCGCGCGCGCACGCACTGCGGTGGGCACGCACGCGTGCACCACCCTTGTGCAGGAAACCCTCAAGAAAGCACGCGGGCCGGGGTGAATCTTCTATCAGAAAAAAAGAAATCTCCCGTTGTGGCGGCCTTTGCATCTGGATTCCCTCCGTGGCGGCCTTACAGGGGGATTCCCGTTCGTGGCGGCCCGACAAGGAAATGTCCGTTGTGCCTGCCTCATAAAAGAATTCCCGTTGCGGCTGCCTTGCACAAGGACCCTCGCTGTGGTAGTTGCAACAAAAATCCTGTTGCGGTGCTCTGCCAGATTCCGGTGTTGTGCCGGTCACACCGCTACATCACGAGGTGTTGCTTTCTTGATCCACCAGCGGCACGTACGCAGCATCAAGCGTTTCAGACGTATCAACGAACGCATCGCCTACATCGACCTCGACATTGGCAAATGCAAGATGAGAATGACGACAGCATATTTTCCTCATTCTGGGTACGCCGACGTTCACGTCCAAAGTATGTATGATTGCCTGACCGCCATTCACGACGACGCCGCCCATCAGAAGCGAGTCGCAACCATCACTGGAGATTTCAACGCACAAGTTGGACAGCGACCGAACAGCGCGGACGACGATGTCAATCGCAGCGCAAGCCGAAGACCAACCGTGGGAGCACATGGACTGGGAGATTGCAGCACACGTGGAACGTGGTTACGAGCTTGGGCCAACACACAAAGGATGCTTATCATGAACACAATGTTCTACAAGCACCACCACAACGTTTTTACGTACACCAGCAGCGGAGAGCATCCAACCCAGTCTCAAATTGACTACATACTCATAGATAGATGTCGCCGCAATCAAAAACTCGACGCATTTGCCACCAGCACTCCAGACCTCGGTTCAGACCATCAAGCGGTATGCATGAAGATGGTCCTCAACCCCACGAAACCCAACAAGAAGAGCAAACGTAGACGACGAACACCCTACCAATCATCTCTTCCGCCCGCCGCCGACCCGCTTTACCAGCAGTGGTTACAGCGCCGACTCGACGATCACGACCGCACAGCTAGTACAAATGACACGCACACCTACATCAACAACGCCCTTGTCCAGGCTCACGAAGAGTATCGCGAACATGCGCGAGCTACTGCACAATGCCCGGCGCATGGGGAAGATCTCACAGCAGACCACAAACTACAAGAGCTCATCGTCCAACGACGTAACACACCACTCAATGTCACAACCAAACGTGCCACGTTGAGCAAGCAAATCTTGAGGCAACTTCGAACCATCAAACGAGCCCGCGACAACGCTAAACTAAATGACGTCGTCTGCCAATTCAAAGGCCTCAAGAGGATCGCCGGTGTGAAGTCTTCCAAACGAAAAGACATGATTGCATCAATGACGACCCCAACAGGAGACGAGGAGACTGACAGGACAAACATCGCCGACGTTTTCGCGGCATTCTACGAGCAACTCTACCAGAAGCAAGAGAGCGACAACAAGGATAATAGCACTGCCACAAAGGCAACATATTCCAACATACCGCCATTCACGAAAGAAAAAATACGGAAAGCCATCAAACAGCTGAAAAATGTCAAGTGCAGCGACACTGCTGGCCTCACAGCAGAACTGCTCAAAGCAGGAGGCACGACCATTGAGGAGTACTTGCTGCAGCTCTACAACGACATTATCACACCAAACCACTTGCCACCCGACCAATGGAAAAGCACGACGATCACGGTTATATACAAGTCCGGAGACCCCAAACTACCACAACATTACAGACCAATTGCCATCATCCCGTTGTTGTGCAAGCTTATGTCTCGCCTCATATGCAATCGGCTTGAGGCAGCATTCGACGCACAACAAAGCCCCGACCAAGCTGGTTTCAGGCGTGGCTACAGCACGGAAGACCACTTTTTCATTACGGCAGTATTGTACGAACAGTCATATCATTGGCAGCTACCACTCTGGGCAGCCGCAATAGACTTTAAGAAAGCGTTCGACTGCGTGAGCCATGGTAAACTTTGCGAAGCTTTGCGACAGCAACACATCCCTGCTGCATATATTGATTTCTTACAACAAATGTACAGCGACCAGACAGCCACAGTCAGAACAGACACTAACTGCCGGCATTTTGACATACAGCGGGGAGTGAAGCAAGGAGACCCTCTCAGCTCATTCTTGTTTAATTCGTTTTTGGAACACATTTTCCGTCAACTCAAGACCAAGTGGCACCAAAAGCGGTTTGGCATCAGGCTGGGTTATGCACAAGAGAGTAGCATCACCAACCTGCGTTTCGCACATGACGTCCTGCTGTACGCCCCGAACCTACGCCAGCTTACCTGTCTGCTACGCGAGTTGAAAAATCAGGCGGCACTCTGCGGACTTTCACTACACCCCGACAAGACCAAGATCCTGACGAACGTTAGCCGGAGGATGGGTAGAACCAATACGCACATCAAGTTGGACGACGCACGTATCGACATCTTGCACAACGACCAGAGCAGAAAATACTTAGGCAGAAAACTGTCGTTCGACAACTTCCACGAGTACGAGCTAGCAAACAAGATCACCGCAGGGTGGGCGAAGTTCAACCAGCTACGGAATGAACTCACGAACAAACGGTTCTCTTTGCACAGTAGACTACGACTTCTCAACGGCACAATCTCGCCTTGCGTTATGTGTGGATGCTGCTCATGGACTCTCACCAAAGACATGCTCCTCACGCTGCAGAGGACACAACGGAAGATGATTCGTCTGGTCGTGGGCGTGCCGAGAAGACGGCTCCGACAGGGAAACAACAACGCAGCACCCGATACCAACAGCACAACCGACGACACTGGTGACCAGCACGAACTTGGACCGCGCAGCAGAGACGACGACCCGGAACCCTGGGTGGATTTCATACGCAGGAGCACACGCACTTCCATAAGTATCGCCGAGCGCATGCATGTGCAAAAATGGACACACATATATTTCAAAACGAAATGGAACTACGCAGCTCGAGTCGCAAGCCACAGTCACGACAGATGGACGAGACGTCGCATAACTTGGGACCCGAACGCTCACGACGCACGACGAGAAGAACGACGACACGGCGGTCACCGGAAGACTTGGAAGGACGACTGCGACAGATTGTCATTTCTTAAAACAGCTACAGAATTTAAATACGACAACCAATGGGTGGATATGGCATCTGATGCAAATTTGTGGAAAAGTCTTGAGGACGGCTTTCTCGACTACATGGAGGACTTCCTTCTTCTCCCTCAAAGAATCTCCAACATCCATCTCTCCGATTTCTGCTCGCAACACGTCTTCTGAGGACCCCGGCATCCCCGCGCTGCCCTCGTAGGGCCGGTCCCGCATGACCGACATCGCGCGCTCGTCTCGTCCCTTAAAGACAAGGGACACACCGAACAACAAGAAGATACCATGAACACACATCAAGATGACACAGACATATGAACACCCACAACGTGTGATGTTGTTCATTGTTTTTTCGAAGTGTGCCCATTGTGATTCCTTGTGTTCCTTGTTATTCGCGGCTGACTGCCGAGAATGGCCCGGTTGCGCTACAAAGGGATTCCTTTTGCCACGGCCTTGTACAAATGTTCCCTTGGTGGCGGCATTACAATCAGATTCCTGTTGTGGCGGACTTGCTAAAACATTCTTTGTGGCGACCTTACAAAAAGATACATTTTCCGTAGGCCACGTACAAAAAGATCGTCTGTGGCGGCTTTACAAACGAAACCCTCTTTGGCGTGCCCTGACGAATTCCTGTGTTCCTTGAAGAAGACAAGGAATCACATCGAAAAACAATACAAACCATGAGCACACATCGAAAAACAACGACCAACAACAACTTTATGATAACACCACAAAGGAACGGTCCAATGGAACAAATGTGGAAATGCAAGAACTGTGTTGTTCCTGGTGTTTCGCTGTGTGTTCATTGTTTTTATTTGTTTTCAATGTTCTCCTCGTCATCCGCGGTTGATTGCCGAAAACAGTCTAGTTGTCCTGCACAGGGATTCCTTTTGGCACGACCTTACAAGAGAATTACCTTTGTGGTGGCCTTAACAAAGGACTCCTCTTGTGGAGAGCTTAGAACAGGATTATTATTTTTTGCGGCGGCCTTACACAAGCATTCCTTTTGCGGCGGCCATGCGGAAAAATCCGCTGTGAGGGCTCCAGTGGATCCTCCTGAATGAGACATGTGGAACTTGACAAAGCGAAAGGTTGAAACGGCACGGCGAAGCATGTAAGACGTTGCGGAGACAGCCTCTTCCATCCAGGACGGCGCGGAAAGCTTAGGGCACCTGGGACCAGGGGCCAGTCCTGGTAACCTTCAAGCCTGGGCCCCCGACGCCAAGATTTATTCGCAACGTCGAGCCCCACAACTGGCATTTCATCCCGAGACGTTTTTTGACGGTCCCCAGGCCCAGCCAGGGCCCCCGGAGACCGAAATCGGCCACAAACCTCCCGTCGTGTTTTTTTTCCGCGACGCGAGCATGCCAGGGCCTGGGGGTCAAGATCAATCCCCAGATCTGTTCCGAGGTGAGATCTCGCCAGAATTTCCAGGCGAATCCAGCCGTGGCGACGAGGACCCCCCTGGATGCCCCAAAGAAGGCGATGAAGATCAATGTCGATCCTCGATGTTCGCGGCAGCACGAGGCCTCCGAGGCTGGCCTGGGAGGGTCCTCGACGGGCTTGCCCACCAGCCTGCCCGACGCGAAGCTCTCCGCGACCCAGGAGGCGGCCCGCGCCGTGGCGGTGCCGGAGGCGCTCTCGGAGTATACGCTGTGCACCATGCAGGGCGCCTCGTCGCAGGCCTGAAGGGCAACGCTACAGTCCGGGCGTTGACCTAAGGAACCCTAAATAAGGAACGAGGCCCCTTGTTTCCATAAACTAAACTTCGATTTCCTATCGAAAACGTACGGAAAACCTGAGGCAAGCAGTGAAACCCTTAAGGAACGCGGAGCCCCTCCCCAACCAAAAGGGTTCCTTCTTCAGGGCCCCGACTGTATTGGCAGGCACCAGCTCGGGCGGACCACGCTCGAGCGGCGCTCTCCTGCCTCAACTTCCCAACGAGTAGTGGATGCCAACCAAACAGGAGCAGTTGAGTTGGCGACACATAAGCAATCCATGGGCAATTCAGCACCCACTGAATGACGAACGAGCAACACACACCCATACCCATAGGGGGGTCGTCGAGAGAAGGACTGGCTATGGGTATGGGTGCGGGTTGTCGGACCCTGGGGAACGCTCCCGTTCGAGCGGGGACCCCCATCCGACAACACGCACCCGTAGCCCTCTCCGACCCCCCTATGGGTATGGGTGTGTGTGCTGTTGGTTCGTCACTGAAGACCCCCTGTCGCAGACCCCTTCTTTCACCCTCCGAGGGGGGAGGGGAGGGAGAATCGATTTGAAATCGGTGATCAATTCGCCGACACATCGACGATATCCTGCGATCCTGGCGACTCCGTCCTTTCGAGCCGGGCCTGCTCGCCCGTCTTCGGGCCCTCGGACCCTCACAGATCGATCCGGCTCAAAAAGAAGGCGCAGAAAGATGGGGTACGGGGGCGATGGTCGTTTTCTTCACCATGTCTCAATGTTTTCGCGCGGATCTCAGGGTGGGCCCCTGATGGCGAATCCATACGTTCCTGGGCGGGCTGGGCTATCGGGACGTCTCGGCGACCAATGGTCGAGCGGGGGTCGATGCATCCCCCACTGAGCCTACCCCCCTCCAATCTGAGCAGGGACCGACCGTCCTGGCATTCGTCTAGGCCTACCACGGAATACTCTTAGAACCCCCCAGAAATCCAAAAGCAAAAACCGTGCTCTCAGAACAGAAGCCCGATGTACTAGAGCAGCACCGCCTCAGCCAGAAATATTATGAAAACACTTCGTGCAAACCACCAGAGGTTCTCAGAGCATTCCGTGGTGGGCCTACAGCTGGCCATCGCTCGGACGTCCATTTCCTGTGTTTTTGTTCGGTTTCGTGCCTGTTTTTTTCGCCAAATGATCAAGGATGCTCCTCGATGGTCCTCGCCGAAGGAAAAATGCACACGTCCGAGCGATGCCAAGGCAGGAAAGCCAGGGCGCTTCGCCACTGCGCGACTCGTGCTTTGCCCGTGGGGGCCGAGGAAGGCACCCAGAGGTGGCTGGAGCCCGTGTCGACGAGGACCACGAAGCTCTGGGGCGGGCTGCCGACCGTGATGTCGGCCGCGTAGCTGACCAGGCAGTGCCAAGGGGGATTACAGTAGATTAACGGGCGAAGAACCGTATAGCATTTTTTGTTTTGCCGTCGGGGACACCTGCCCCAGGGCGGCTGGAAAGTTTATACCCTTACGGTGGCACCGTAGGGTAATAAACTTTCCAGCCGCCCTGGGGCAGGTGTCCCCGACGGCGAAAAAGTTTATTTTATACCGTTCTTCGCTCGCTGAATAGAGGGCAGAAAATCTCACAGAGGGGCTTACCAAGGGGGCTTACCACGGGGGGCTTCCCATAGAGGGCTCACTGTGGCTGCCCAGACAGTGCCGAGGGGGCTCACCGTAGGGTCTGACCAGGCAGTGCCAAGGGGGCTTACCATAGGGGGCCTACCCCCAGAATGATCAAGGCGTTTCGCAAACGCACCCAGGGAAGGACTCGAACGAGGCTAGGCTGTTTCGTGAACGCCCAGGGTCGTTTAGGAAACGTCAGTTGTCGGGCCCGGGTGGTTTCTCTTCCCTTGATACCACCAGGGGAGTCGCCAGTTCCTCGAGTAAGCACCACTTCCTCGCATAAAAGCGGCCCCGATAACACTCTAGAGCTTCCCTCCCAAAACTCGGGCGATGCCAGGACTGGGTCTAGTGGGACCTGGTTTATGATTTGTACCGGGGCCGCCCCCGCCGTCCCATTCCACTGAACGGAATTGCCGTCACCCGAAGAGCACTAGCTGCATCAGACCTGGTTCAGTGATTCCAATCCATATTTGGGGCTTCTCGGGGGCGGCCCAAAGAGGGGCGTCCAAGAGGGGGGGCGCAAATCATGACCGGCGGCATGTGCGCGGCCCAGCGGGGGGGCCAGGGACGTAATGAAATGAGAAGAGGCGCCATGAAATCTAAGGAAGTATCATGGCCCACGCCATGATATCCACCCCCCTAGTCATCACCCACCTCTTTGCCGCCCCCGACCGAACTTCGGTGCCCAATCAATAAACGGCTCCCCTTTACCGGGGTCCTGGCTATACCCAACAAGCGGCACCAAACGTCCAACATAAACCTCCTCGAACTCCGATCCTGGAGCCCCTCGGCTTCCAGGAGCCGGTGACCCCCTTCTGCTGGTGGACCCCCATGGCGCTGCCCGCGCTGAAAGCGTTCGCGCGCCCGCCGCGCAGGTCCGGCAAGGAGGTGCTGGCGCCGGTCAGCGGGACGACGACGAGCCCCGGGTCCTCGCGTGGGCCAAGGCCGCGCTGACGGCGATGTCGGTTAACGGCGATGTTGGGAATCCGACTTTTGTGACGCCGAGCTCGCGCAGAACAAATTGTAGGAAATCACGAACCAAACTTTCCTACGTTTCTCAAATGTGCGAATGTATCGAGCGAAAGCGGCGCGGCGAAGTGCAGGAAAGCGCGAACCACGATGTCCCACAACTGCTTCGGCTACGCACAAATCCAGCCCCTGCAATGCCGAAGCCTGCATCGCCGCTACCTGCACCGCCGTTGGCGCCTCTGCGGGTGAGGCGGGGGTCCCGCACAGAAATGCTCGCGTCGTGGGGGAAAGCAAACGCGGCGGGGCATCCTCGACGCCGTGTCCCGCGCTCTCGAGACCACGCCGGGCCCGGGGATCGTCAAGAGAGCGACGTGGGGTGACAAACGGGCCCTGGGAGAGGATCAGGGCTTACGGATACCCCGATGAGCCTGTTCTCCACCACCACCACCATGAGGTGGAGGGGGGAAGGAGGAGGAGGGGGGGGGAGGAGGAGGAGGAGGAGGAGGAGGAGGAGGAGGAGGAGGAGGAGGAGGAGGAGGAGGAGGAGGAGGAGGAGGAGGAGGAGGAGGAGGAGGAGGAGGTGGGAGGAGGAGGAGGAGGAGGAGGAGGAGAGGAGGAGGAGGAGGAGGAGGAGGAGGAGGACCCCCCCCCTCCACCTTATGGTGGTGGTGGTGGTGGTGGTGGTGGAAAACACGCCCATCACACCCAGTACTTCAAACGTCGGGCCATCGGATGTATGGGACTCGTCCACGCACATCCATCTACCAGCAGCTTGTGAAGGGGCCCACAATCACACAAATAAATACACACAAAGAAAAAGACTCCCCATATTTTCCCATATCTTCTGGGTTTTTGTCCCTCCCCCACATCCCATATTTTCCCATATCTTCCTGGGGATCGACGATTCATTGTGTCTCTATGTTTCTTCCCCTCCTGAGCTCGGGAAAGCAGGTGCCCTGGAACCTGCGGGCCGCGGAGGGTGCACGGACACATTCGGACCCCCTCAGGGGGCCAGAGCACTCTCCGCAGCTATCCGCCGCCGGCGGAGGCTCGGGGGGAGATTAACCAGCCTCGAACGTATCCCTATCTCTAAGATTGAGAAGCCAAAAGTCGACGAAAATCTTAGGGATGCGCCCTCAGAAACGGAGGGAATCCCTAAGATCGGCATCGAGATGAGGTACAGGAGGAATCTCCAACAGTAGTCAAAAAAAACATGGGAGCGATGTTTGGACTATTCTTGCTTATTCATGCAACATGTTGGGGGTATTGCTTATTTGTCCTTCAAAATCCCCTTGCAGGGGGACAGGCCCGACCTAAACCCAACCTCAGATGTCTCATGTTGTGGTGCGGTCAACACGGGGGCTCCAGCAAACCCGACCCTCTGCCCAAGACTGGCTTTACATCCTTACATGATTTCTGACTGTCCCGGGGCACGTCGAGGGTCCCTGGAGACCGAAAACGGCCACAAAAAAGCCCAGCGGGTTTTTTGTTCACGATGCGAGCTCATAAGTCAAACCCCGAACCAATTCCAGGGTTGGCCATTGCGAGAATCTCAAGGCGGATCCAGCCGTGGGGGCGAAGACCACCCCTCGGAAGCCCAACTAGGGCACCCAATTGTCAAAGCCTCCCGCCGTGTTTTCTTTTCGCACCGCGGGAAGTGCTAAGAGGATCTGGGGGCGGGGCAGTGGATGCTAAGGTGTGTTATGCGTGGCCTAACCTAGCTTACGAGTGTGGCGCAAATGGTCCAAGTGGCTTTGGGGAGTGAATGATCTGGGCTAGCTTGGCTCCGCCCACTCAGCAGAGTTATCCAGTCCCGCGAAGCCTCTTGAGGCATTGTGATCCACCTGTGCGCTGGGTTAGGCCAGACAGAACCCACCCCACCTCTGCATCCACTGTGAACCCTCCTATCCCCTCAGCAACCGCTGCGCCGATCTCACTGGGGATACATTCAAGCCCGGGGATGAAACCAAATCCGCTCAAAAACGATCCCCGGACCCGTCCTGGGGTCGTCCGGGGTTCATCTGGGGCATTTTTTTTACGACGGTATGGGAGCAATGAACAAAATCTTCACGATACGTGATTTGAACTGATGGAATTCTTGTTATACATTTCTGCGCTCGCTGCTGCGGGGTGTGACCGCCTCTTGCCTAACGGCTGGTGCCGACACGGTGCTGCATTCGAGCGCCACCCTGTACCTGCTTCTGGCGGTCCTGGGGTCCAACAACCGCCCCTGGAGGGCGATCAAGGCAAACAAGAAACACAACACACAACCTCCCCGAACCCAGCGGCTCGGACCTGCTGCCGCCCTTCCTGCTGGCCGAGACCAGTGCTAGTTCGGGCATGTCCCCCTACTAGACGGGCTTTGGAAGACAAGCAAAACAAAACACCAAATCCTCACAAATGGTCGAACATATAACAAAAATACGCCCCCCGAGTATTTGTTCTACTATTTTTGCATGTTCCTCCTGTGGAGGACCGGCCCGACTTGAAACCCGTGCTGGAAGGAGAAGTCGAGGAGGAGGAGGAGGAGGAGGAGGAGGAGGAGGAGGAGGGAGGAGGGGGAGGAGGGGGAGGAGGGGGAGGAGGAGGAGGAGGAGGAGGAGGAGGAGGAGGAGGAGGAGGAGGAGGAGGAGGAGGAGGATTCTTTCAACAGGGCAATGACTGGCACAGCGTTTGGCTTGCCAACACAAGAGCTGCACACGGCTCCCAGCTGGGGGGGGGCCCTCCCCGCCTCGGGCCTCGTCCTCCACGACCAGGCCGCGGGTCTCTGCCGCCAGCGTCGCGACCCTGCGCCGGGCGAGGATGGCGGCGCCCCTCGCGGCGAGCGGCCCGGCGAGCAGCCGCGGCAAGGCGCCGGGCATCGGGGCCCGCCGCGGCTCCGAGAGCCCGCGGCGTGCGCGACCGCGGAACCCCCTGCTGCCCACCCCTCCGGGGCCGCCTTCGGCGGCCTTCGCACGGCCCTCGTGCGCGGTCCTCGGGCGGCCTGCGGCGGTCTCCGGGCGGTCTTCGGCGCTTCCCGGCGGGCTCTGAGGCTTCCCGGCGGGCTTCGGGAGGGAGGAGGGAGGAGGGAGGAGGGAGGAGGGAGGAGAGGAGGAGGAGGGGAGAGGAAGGAGAGGAGGAGGAGGAGGAGGAGGAGGAGGAGGAGAGAGGAGGAGGAGGAGGAGGAGGAGGAGGAGGAGGAGGAGGAGAGGAGGAGGAGGAGGAGGAGGAGGAGGAGGAGGAGGAGGAGGGGGGGGGAGGAGGGGAGAGGAGGAAGGAGGAGGAGGGGAGGAGGAGGAGGAGGAGGAGGAGGGAGGAGGAGGAGGAGGAGGAGGAGGAGGAGGAGGAGGAGGAGGAGGAGGAGGAGGAGGAGGAGGAGGAGGAGGAGGAGGAGGAGGAGGAGGAGTGGAGTCTGGCGGCTTCCATGCGGTCTCTGGCGGCTTCGGGCGGCCTCTCGGCGCGAAGGCTGGGCAGCTGCGCTCTCAACGGGGGGTCCATATGCTCGGGGGCCGTGCTCGGGGGCCGCGCTCGGGGACCGCGGGCCGAGGCCGTCGGGCCACTGAGGTCCATGCGTGTCGCATTTCCTGTGTTTCGCCACGGGCGAGGTCGCCTGCCCTCGGGCCCTTGGGACCATCACGTACTTATCGATCTGGCCAGAGAAATGCTGCCGAAGGATCGGGCCCACGATGGGGACGCGGCCGCAAGAAACCCTCGCAAGGAACCCAGCCGGAACAAATTCCGCACAGTTTCTTGCCCCATGAGCCTTGGTTTCGCATCCAAGGGATCCGATCGGGGAAACTCCGGGTACCATCGGCGCAGCAGTTTCTGAACGATCGGGAGAAGTCAGCGCGCATCGCTGGAAACGACGAATCCTAGAGCACCCTGACGACAACCAGATGGTTTCTTGATGCGCGTCCCCACTGTAGGGCTCTGGTCGTGATTTTCGCGAGGCTGCACTTTTGGTCGCAACGCCGGATCTCAAGGACTCGGGGATCTTCTGACCCGGGTCTATCCAGACCCGGGTCAGCAGGAAACCAAAAACTGCAATGCAGGAAACAAAAAAACTGCAACGCAGGTCTTCGCAAGTCCGGGTCAGCCAATACGAGCGGCCGCCTCGCGGCCACGAGCGGCTCGCTAACCCGGGTCAGCCAGAGGGGGTCTTCGCAGGATCCTGCAGGATCTGGTGCCCTGCCTGACCCCCGTTTGCATAGACCCCCGTCTCAAGGCTCCCGAGGGACGTTCGAGGTCCGCGGGCCGGTTCCGAGGAGGGGGTCTAGTATGGGGCCTCTGGCGATCTGGAGCTTGGCTGGCAGGGATGCCCGAGCCGAAACGGGGGGACGCCGCGGAGGAGGATGGTCACGAGGCAGGAAGACGCTGACGCGTTGGACGCATCAAAGAATATTCGGGAGCGGCCAAGAGGGGGGGGTGCAAATCATGACCGGCGGCATGTGCGCGGCCCGGCGGGGGGGCCAGGGACGTAATGAAACAAGAAGAGGCGCCATGAAATCTGGGGAAATATCATGGCCCACGCCATGATATCCACCCCCCCTAGTCATCACCCCCCTCTTTTCCGCCCCCGAAATATTGTGAAAGGCGGCTCGCGCAGAAGTCCGGGCTGCAGCACCAACGAAGCAAAGCTCCAGCTGACGGACCCCGATGGTCGGCGAGGCGGACGGGTGCTTCTGCAACCCCAATGTGTTCACTTGATCTGCGTCGCTGGCAGCATACCGCTACTCCAGATTTCGTAATAAAAGGGAGGGGGTCTGGACCCTCCAAGACAAGCCATTTCAGACCTCCCCCGTGGGGGAACTCTCCAAAATATCGTCCCCAGACCCCCCAGGCCCTCCAAGATAGCCTGGAAGAGCCCCCCCCGAAATGAGACCCCCCTCCCTTTATTACGAAATCTGGAGTAGCAGCCAACTTTTGCCGCGGGGCCCACGGAGAGCAGACTGGGAGATCGGACCGAACTGCCGCCGCCTGGAGCTCCCCGCCGAGCTGCGGCCGCTGGGACGCGCCGCCCGCCAGCTGGCACCACCAGCATCGCCAGAGCTGGAGGGGCCGTGCCCGCCTGTGTGTCTCTGTGTCTCTGTGTCTGTGTGTCTCTGTCTCTGTGTCTCTGTGTGTGTGTGTGAATGTGTGTGTGTGTGTGAATGTGTGAATGTGTGAATGTGTGAATGTGTGAATGTGTGTGTGTGAATGTGTGTGTGTGTGTGTGTGTGCGTGCGTGCGGGTGTGTGTGTGTGTGTGTGCGCGTGTGTGTCACCCCCCCCCCCGTCCTGCTCTGCTCACCCCCAGACCTGCCATGGCCCTGCCCTGTTCCGCACGCCCCCTCCCCCCCCCCCCGAAGCGCTGACCCCTTCCCCACGGCCGCGCCGGCAAGCCCCAGCCGCTCCCTCTGGACGGCCCCTGGGCCTGGTGAGGGCCCCCGTGGAGGCCGGAAGCTGCTCCCCCCCCTCTCTGGGCCCGCCCGGCCTCTCCCCTGGGGGGACCGTGGCGGCCCCTCCGCCGGCAGGCCTGGGCGACGCCGAAGTGGGGGGGCGATAGACGTAAAAGTCGGGCCTGTCCTCCTGCAGGGGATGCTGGACGAGAAATAGAAATAAGCAGGACATGCCCCAACATGGCCAAACACTCCTCCAAAAATCGCCCCAAGACTATTTTGTTGACTATTTGGGAGCCTTCCTCCTGTAGAGGGACAGGCCCGACTCAACGATAGACTGGGAGGGGGGAGAGACGGTGCACTCTTCGAGCCCTACGGCCCCTCTTTGGGCCTGAGGAGGAGGATAAGGCACTGCAGGGGAACGTCGCGCAGTGCACAGACGACCACCTTAGGGAGGGGCGCCACGAATGGACGTGCCACCCATGCCCTGGCGCATGCGGGGGCCCACCGAGAGGATCACGGCCGCCCGCACACAACGCCAAAATTGTTATGAATGCGGCACAAACAAATAGACACAAACGAAAGTACTCCCAATAGGTTTCCATATCTTCTGGGCTTTTGGCTTCCCCCCACTTCCCATATTTATTCATATTTCCTTGGGGATCGAGAACTAATTGTGTCTGTGTGTTTTTTCCCCACCTGATTTACTCTGGGAGATCAGCGTGGATACGGAAATAATGGCCACGAAGACCGACAATTGTATCGCCTGGGCGACAATCAACAAAGGGTCTTACGCGAGATGTGGTAGCAACCTTACGCCGTGGCTTACGCGGGCCGCTAGTGCGGCACGTCACGTTCGAAGGGAAGGCGCTTACGCGCGTCCTTACGCGGGAAGCTTACGCGCGAATGTCCGCGCAATCGAACCAGTTTCTTTGCGTCGCTCACCTGTTCGTTTTGTTGGGGATGAAATTTCTACACCACCCCTGCCCATGGCGCCGGCGACGATGACTGCATATTTCCTCTCCTCGGCTGAATCCAGCTTTGGCGTACTGTTGTACATACGCTCATGCATGCATGTGATCTGCAACCGATGTGCCAACTAGGCACAGTTCCTGATCCGTGCACAAGGATCGCTGTCAGTGCCGCCGCGGACGCTTTTAATGTGAGAAAGAAGGCTGCCTGCCCAACAGCGGCCGCTGCCGGAATTAGACAACATTGGTTTTTGGGCACGGTGCCATTCTTCCCGCTCCCATTTCAGGCGTCCAACCCGCTCCTGGGCCCTGGGGCCAGTTTCGCGCGCGTGCGTTCTCTGCTGCCTGCGTAGCTCGGCCTCGACCTTCACCACGCTAGTAGCTACAGCATGCCGGCCTCTACGCGGTCGACCTCGTGCTCCGCATCGCAAGCTCTCTTGGCACGAGGGAAAAGCGCCCCGACTGGCAGGAGTCCTGGACCCCTGGAGCAGCTTCGAATCTTATCCTGAATCGTTTTCGGCAGTCCTCCGATCCGTCCGGGAGACTGTGCCCTGGCCACAACTCCGCGGGGGATCCAGCCGTGGCCACGAAGGCGCCCCAGGAGACAAACACACACACACACACAGGCACACGCACACGCGGCAGCGAGGCGAAGCAAGTCGAGTGAGGCGGGCGCAACCTAATTAGGGCGGTGCCCGCGCACGTACACACACCCACACACGCACGCACGCACGCACGCACGCACGCACGCACGCACGCACGCACGCACGCACACACACACACACACACACACACACACACACACACACACACACACACACACACACACACACACACACACACACACACACACACACACACACGCGCACGCACGCACGCACGCACGCACCCACACACACCACACACACACACACACACACGCACGCACGCACGCACGCACGCACGCACGCACGCACGCACGCACTGGCCTGCCGCACTGGCCGCACTGGCCGCACTGGCCGCCCTGGCCGCACGCAAGCACGCGCATGCGCACGCGCGCACACACATTCACACACACACACGCACACACACACACACACGCACACACACATACCCACACACAAACACACACACACACACACGCACGCACGCACGCTCGCACGCACGCACGCACACACGCACACACACACACACACACACACGCGCACACACACACACACACACGCACGCACGCACGCACGCACACACCCACACACCCACACACACACACAACCACACACGCACGCACGCACGCACGCACGCACGGGCCGCACTGGCCGCCCTGGCCGCACTGGCCGCACTGGCCGCACGCACGCACGCGCATGCGCACGCGCGCACACACATTCACACACACACACACACACACGCGCGCAAGCGCGCGCACACGCACACACGCACACACGCACACACGCACACGCACACGCACACTCAAAACAAAAACACGCCCAAGTCGCCTCCGCAAGGGTGCGTGCAGCCAGCGGTATGCGAGGCCCTGCAGCTGCCCCCCTGTGCGCGC